TCTTTCTGTCTTTCTGTCTTTCTGTCTTTCTGTCTTTCTTTCTGTCTTTCTGTCTTTCTTGTACTGGGGATTGAACCCAGAGGCTTGAGCATGCTAGGAAAATATTCTACCATTGAAGTATATACTCACTGAGACCCTGTCTCAAAATAAAATTTTGAAAAATAATTGGGGATGTATATACTTCAGTGGTACACTGTTTCTGGTTTTTGTTTTTGTTTTATTACTGTTTTTTAGCCTGACTTTCTAGATGTCACTCTCCTGTCTGTATAAATTAGTGTTCAGCCAGTAATCAGAATTGTAGCTCAGATATCTTGAAGCAGTATATCTTTTGCTCTTTCCTGATGGATCTGAATGTGAGTTGGTGAGCAAATTCAGAGTGCAGATTGGGTTTTTTGGTTTGTTTGTTTTTGTTTTTATTATTATTGTTGTAGGGATTGAACCCTGGGGCATTTAACTATTGAGCCACATCCCCAGCTCTTATTTTTTCTTTTGAGACAGGGTCTCATTAAGTTGCTGAGGCTGGCTTTGAGCTTGCAATCCTCCTGCCTCAGCCTGCTGAGCTGCTGGGATCATAAGTGTGAACCTCTGTGCTGCAGACTGTTTTTGAGTGTGTTGCAGTGTTTCCTAGCTTGATACTTACTAAGAAGCGCTACAAGACTCAGCATATAGTCATACTCATGACAATTATTTATTATAGTGTCGGGGAAAAGGCACAAGTCATGGGTTGGGGAGGAAACCAAGTAGAAACTTCTAACATTTCCCTACTAGCTATGGGATGCCCTTAGATTTTCCAGCAATGAGTTGTGACAAAATGCATGAAATATTATCTACCAGGGAAACTATAAAGACTTCAATGCCCAAGGATTTTACTGGGGGATGGTCATGTTGGCGTCCTTGCCTACCACATATCAAAATTCCAGACTCCTAGAAGGAATGTAGGTTTTCATAAATAAATAAACCACATTATTAGTATACATCAGGTATAATAAGTCACTCTTACTGGTTATAGCAGTGGGAACTCTTCTAAAATCCAGGTGGCCAACTTGCAAGCAGATTTTTCAAAGGGTCACATTTAGGCCTTTTTGGCCAAATAACTCGTTTCTGTCCCATTTTTCCCTACCTGTCATGCCTTCTTGGGTCTTTACTGAATGTGCATGTCACTTTACATCCTGCCAGTCAAAGACTCTTGGAGAGTTAGGGGTCTCTTGGATCTCCTCTGGGCATGTATGCAGGTTTCCAGTCCTCCAGGGATATGAAAATTTATCTGTGGCCATGATGGTTACCTTATTTCCAGTTTCTTTCTTTAGAATTTCTGACTAGTCTGACAGTCCTCTGTTTACCTCATTGGGATTGCAACCTAGGCTCTGACAGGAAGAAAGTCTTTTGCCTTTTATTTCTTACTGAGTTTACTGCTTTTACAGATAATACCTCTGAACTCAGGTGTGTTTTTGCTCTGTGCCCAAATCAATGCAGCTTCTTCCAGGTGAAGTTTTGGTTTCTTCCTGGCCAGCTCTACCTGGTAGGACATTGCACTGACTGATCTGGGAAGGTGGTGGTGGAACTGATGGTGAGTGGGGCAGCCTAGGCAGGAAAGCAGCATCCTACAGTTCTTACCAAAGTTTGAGTGTTTTTAAACCACTGAATAATTCTCAGTGGGTTGTTTCCTTTTGGTTGATTTCTAGAACCTGATATGATTGGTAGTGGCAATTTTGTTCAATTTTATGTTGTTTGGGGGAGGGTATTTACCTGGTTTTTTTTTTTTTTTTTTTTTTTTTTTACCTCTTCCATGTCTGAAAATCCCACATTGACCGATATTTGAGTTTGATCTGGCCTTGTATTCCTGGGATAAACCTTACTTGCTCACATTGTGCTATTCTTATATATTGCTGGATTTTCTAGGCTCATATTTTTATACAATTTGCCTATATTCATGATGATTAGTAATAGTTTCTTTTCTTATAATGATTTTGTCTGGTTTTGGTTTTAGAGTAATAACCCCATAAAATTGTGGGAATATGTTTAGTTCCCTTGTTTTTAGAGAGAATTTCTATAGAATTGATATTTCTTCCTTATATTAGGTAAAATTCAATATTGAAAGCCCTTAGGGCTGGGAGTTTTCTTTATGAGTAGGTTTTTCACTTCAATTTCAACATCTTTAGGAAACTTTCTAATTCATATGGAGTAAGCTTTGATAATTTAGTTGAACTTTTTAAAAACATTATTCAATATAATTAGGTTTAAAAATTACTGAAATTTTTGCATATGTGCATATATGGGAAATGTACACTTACGTATTTATTAACTTCTGAAAATTTACAAGTTTTTATTTTCTAATGTGACAGATAACATTGTATTATGTTCAACTTGATGTTTTGGAATATATATTTATATTGATATGTATGCATATATATATATACATATATGTGTTAACTTAAATAACTAGATTTAACCATTTCATTTTATATGTGTGTGTATGTATATATGTGTCTAAGTATATACATATAAATGTACATACACTATACATTATTATATCATTAGCATTTTTGTGCTAAGAGTACTTAAAAACACCCTATTTGCATTTTTCAAAAGTATGATAAACTGTCATTAACTCTAATCACCTTGCTGTAATACATCTCCTGAGTTCATTCCTCCTATCTGTTACTGTTTTCTGATCAGTGATGCAATAAAACATTTCTCCTACCACCCTTCTCCCTTCTGCTCTCTGCAGCCTCTGGGAATCACTCTTCTACTTCTGTGATAACAGTTTTTTTAGATTCTCATATGAATGAGATCAAACTTGAGGGAACACTTACCTTTTTTGTTGTCACTGCCCTTATTTTCTGGTAAATGGTTTAAAGCTAAAAATTTACTATAAGTAGTACTTTTTTGTGTATTTTACAAATTGATCATTTCATGATTGTCTTTAATCTAAAAAGTATTACATTTTATGTTGTTTGGTTTCTAAACAATATGATTTTAAAAGCCATCCTAGTTATTTTCTAGTTTTATTGCATTAATCATCAGGAAAAAAAATTATTAATATTTTGGAATCAGCTAAATAAATGGTATAAGAACACTTAAAAATTTTTACAGTGTTAAAGGAAAATGTGTATGATCTCTTTGTGAAGTTCATATTCTGTAGTGTTTATGAGCTAATTAATTATATTATTCAAATTTTATGTTAATTTTGTCAGCATTTTCTGTTCTAGGGAGCAGGGTTTAACATTTCCAATGAATACTGTCAGCTTATCCGTTTCTTTCTACAGCTTTGTCAGTTTTTTTTAATATATTTTGACTAGATGGTTATTTCCAAATATGTTCATGATGTGTATAATTTTGCTTTGCTGATCATTTTACTAGCTCATAATATTATTCATTGTCTCTTTTTACATATTTTTGCTTGAATTTAGTTTTGTGAGATATTATAATAACAAACCTAGATTTCTTTGTTTCAAATTTATCTGATTTATCTTCTTCTATTCTCTGTTTTCAACTTTTCTATCTCTAAGTATATCTTTTGTAGAAAACATAATAGTGGATTTATTTCCTTAATCCCAATTTGAGCATCTGTCCTTTAATTAGTGAATTTAATCTCTTTGCATATGTGGCAGTTAACATAATAGTAGGGTCATTTTCTTCCATTTTATTTGGGATTTGTTTTCTTTTGCTATTTTAGGTGCCATATATCCTCCCTACTGATTGCTTAAACTTATCACCATACATGTCTTCCCTCAGCAAGACAGAGTGTTTTGCAGTGCATCATCACATTCCTACCACACTTCAGTTTCTATTCTCACTCTGTTCCTCTCCTTCATGTAGATGTCATGTGAATTTTAGGTTTGGTGTGTCTTAGATATAACTTCCCCTCTTTTCTTTTGTCTTTGCTTTTTTAGACAATAATGAACGTTGGCAATTTTAGATAGTAATGAAGTTTGGCAATTGTTTTTGTCTTCAAGCCCTAGTTTTCTCATTTATAAATTGAAAATAATCCCACCTCCCTTGTCTTGCTTTTTGTGGGCAGTTGTAAGTGAGTGCATTTGGTAATGTGAAGAATTACATGAGGGTTGGTTATTGGTCAAAAGGTACTTTTACTCCAACACCTTACCATTTTATTTTCTTCATGTAGTCTTTTTTAAATCCCATTTCCAGAGTTCAGAATTAATATTTTCCCTTCTTCACTCCATAGCCTAGGTTCCTGTATGATGGACTTAAGTCTGTCTGAGTTCCAAAGCTCATACTTCCTGGTTGGCTTCACCAGGTTTAGCACAGTGACAGGAAAACCCAGTAAGAAGCCTTTGGTACATTGATGAGAGTGGAAGGTGGGATGGTGTTGGAGCTATCATTGATCAGCAAAAGAAGGGGCTGCTGTGAGAGGGAATAGCACTTAACGACAACAGAACATTCTAGTATGGGAAGAGTGAGCTCTGTAATGCAGTAAAAACTATTTGTAAATACTTGTATGACAATAATTGGTTTAATGTAATGGTTCCTCACTTTATTTCTTAATAGGCTCATATTGGCAACTTATTAACATCAAAATTCTTCAGTTATAAGGATTTTGATACTTTATTGTATACCTGTGCAGCAGAGTTCGACTTTATGGAAAAGGAGGTAAGATGTGATTTCTAGTTTTCTTTCAATGGATTTTAGCCCCTGTATTTTTCATTAAGGGTTCCCTGTTATTTCAGATTCTATATGTGCTGTTATCTCAGTTTAAAGGAAAAGGAAAATCTGGCAGCTAAAAGGAAGATGTTTCTATTTACATTAGTACAGCTCCCTGAAATATATGGTCTCTTTTTTGGTAATTTCGAAATATGCATTCAGACTAGCCACAGTTTTTTGGATGAGTAAACACAGGGGCATTTTCAAGTTCTGTCTTTTTAGTGACAGCCGTCTCAAGCTTTTACATTTCCATTCATTTTGTGGTGGTTTGAATGATCTCATTGCTTTTAAATATCATTGAGCACAGGTTTTCATTCCAACAATGTTTCTCTTTCTAAAACTTTCTTCAGATGTTTAGAAGGAAACCAGAGTAGGTTAGTGGATTTGAGATAGAAGTCTGCAATATTACTTAATGGTCTTGAACAAGTGAATCTCATTCTTTGTGTTAGAGTTTACTAGTTTCTAGTGGCACACTACAAACAGATATTGTGAAGATAAAATGAGATGTTATAGAAAGTATTTTTGGTATTTTAAGTAAAATATTATTTGGGAATACTTTATAAGCTGGTTTGGTTCAATAAACATGCATATATTTGCGATTTAAACACCACCAATGTGGCACTGATTTCTTGAATTTTATTATCTGTTACACATTTTCTATTCAGGCTGTATGTATGAATGTATTAAATTGGCCAAAGGTGGTGGGTGTGTTGGCACATGTCTATAATCCCAGAAGATGGGGAGGCTGAAGCAGGAGGACTGTGAATTCAAAGCCAGCCTCGGCAAAAGCGAGGTGCTAAGCAACTCAGTGAGATCTTGTCTCTAAATAAAATATAAAATAGTGCTTAGGATGTGGCTCGGTGGTCAAATGCCCCTGAATTCAATCCCTGGTACCAAAAAAAAAAAAAAAAAAATGGCCAACAGTATTTTATGAACATACTTGTTTCCTCTGCAGTACCACTGTGTTATCCCATTGTCCTGAGTTCCAAACCAGTGGACCATAGTGCAAACTTACCCACCAGCTGTTCTGTGCTGAGTATATCCTGAAGATGTCCAGCTTACTCCAGTTGGTCTTTCAGTTTTCATTTATTGTGTTTATGGTTTTGACACATAATGGCTGGTAAAAGTTTTATGAATGATGGTGTTGAACCTGCTGAAAGAATCAAAAGAGTATCTTGTACTCTTTACAAGATAAAATTAAAATACATATTCACAGAAGGTAAAGCCTCCTTCAGGGAAGTGGCAAAGGAAATAGAAGGTAAACTCCTTCTTCTCCACACCAGTGGAGAAGTAGGATATGGTAGAAGTCCCTTAATATTATTAAAGACATCATATGTGCCACTACAACCTGAGAGTATTAATTAGTTCTGTGATGAAGCAAATTGTTTACCAAGGCATAGCAGACTTCAGTCAACTTGAAGCAAACAGAAAAGCTGTTGGCAGCATGCTATTCCCCATCTCCATGGGTATCTGAATTCAGGAACTGTGCTTCTAAGACACAGTCCTGAGGTGCCATCTTAGGGAATGTATATCCATACAGTGCGGAGGAAGGACAGTTTTAGCAAGTTATTCCCTATTATGGTACCATACTAACATGTAATGTTTGAGATGTATTATGGAGTGAATAAAATGGTAGGATATTATTTACCTATAATTAACACACAAAGTATAAGAGATCAAAATTTAACACTGGTTTGGGGTGGGGAGATAATAGAGAGGTACACAGTATTATAATGTGTAGAGGCTTTGTTATTAAAAACATTTTTGTAGTTTTTTATTTGTTATTAAAGCAAATGTAAAAATATCTTTGTGTTTCCTTCATAAATATTTGTCATATGTATATTTTTTGTGAGTTGGGGGGGGGATGAATGAATCAAAAAAGATTGTGCATACCCCCCACAAAATACACAGGGAAGCTTGATCCACTTAAAGGCTCTCTACTTAATCTCAGATGAGTAGTAAGCAAGTAGCATGCAAAAAATGAAAAGCAATCTCTGCTCACATTTCACACTTACAAGTATTTGGGAACTGTATTTTAGTGTTTCCAACTCAATGCTTTGGTGAAATTTGTTTCTATGGAAATGCACCTTCATTTTTATGATGAGAGTCAGTAGTAGATTGGACCTTTGATAGGTGGAATGTTCATATTTCTCTTCTTATGCATTTAGAAATTTACCTGTTTCATTATTTGAAATAATTTTATTCAGTGAAACTATATTTCCATCTAATAAAGCATCTCTCTCAATTGCAGACTCCGCTGAGATATACAAAGACTTTGTTGCTCCCAGCTGTACTTGTAGTATTCATTGCAATTGTTAGAAAGGTATGCATGTACTTTAGATCTCTTTCTTACAATAAAATATTCACTTGTTTTTGCATAATACTTGCATATATTTGGCTATTTAATAATCAGTGTTTTGTATTGATTTATTGAAACATTCTATATTTTCTTATTAATAGCCTTTGATGAATGTTTATGAATCTTAAAAATATTTTGTTCTCTGCTACTGTAACATAGACATAGGAACAGGGTGACAAGTTTGATAGTCATCTAGTTTTGGAAGACATGATCAGAGACTGTATTAACCCAGACACAAGTTAGTTTTGTCTATGCAAATTATTACTTTTAACTTCTATGTAATATTTCCCTCAAAATATTTAACATATACCTTTCTAGATGATTTGATTAGTGTCAGTGACTTTTGAATTGTCTTTATTCAAAAGAAAAAAGAATTAACAATGTACTGATAAGCTAGATAACGTTTAGGCTTCCAGGTTGGCTTTGATAATGCAATTCTAAGCCCACATGTAAACCAAGCCCAAGAGGGTCCAGTCTTCAGGGAAGAACAGGTATGATACTCTCAATTTTTTTAGTAATTTGTAAACACTGTAACTCTTGAGTATTTTAAGAGAATGAATTGATATTAACCTGTGATCAAATAAAGAGGCAGTAAGCCCTAAAAGTTCTGATTTGTAACTAGTGATTGATGTGTTAACCCAATATCATATATTTGTAGAATATTATGGACTATAATTATTTCTCATATGATACATTTAGTCTGTGCTTTGTACACTCTCAAAACATTTTTTACATGCACATTTCAATTGGTTATTGACATCCCTGTGGGGTAGGTAGATATCACCATCCCCATTTGACACATGCTGATTTAGAAGATTATTGTGTCCACTAAAATATAAGGAAAGAACAAGATGGGCTCTACACCATCTCCTTCAGTGAGCGCTGTGTAGTTTTCAACTCTGGACTCACTTTTCAATTTTAGTCAGGTCATAGTTCCCACTGTGTGCCAGGCACATGCCTGCTTTGCTCTTTTGTATACTTACTGGTGGTGTGCACCTGGTAGATACGGAAAAAATATTGGACATTGACCATCCAGAATGTATTCATAAGACAGCAACCTGGATGGCAAGAGATAACAGAAACTATTAGATCAGGTTAAGAAAGCTGGGGTATTTGGTTAAAGAAGAAAAGATGCAAATAGAGAAAGGATAATTATTTTCAAATATTTAAAAGTTTCCCATGTATAAGATTACATTTATTCTGGTTCCTTAAAGTTATGGCCAATTCCAGGAAGGAAAGACTTCAAACCAGAAATGATCTTGGCTAATTAGGAAAGTGTTACAGATTCAAGCAGCAGCTAGGTAATATTGCCAAGGTCTGGAAACTGTTGGCAATGCTGTAGAAACATCCATATTGGGATAGGATTTAGATCAGATGACTTCCCAGTTACTATTAAGTACAAAAGAATAGTGAGTGATTTTGGCTTTTGAATGCTCTGACTGTAATTATTATGTCTGAGCCAGTTCTCTAGTTTTGTATATATGTGATTAAGGACAGATAATTCCCAACACCTTTGCATAATGGAAGCAGTACCAAATGTGAATCTGAAGCCAGAAGATCTGGTTTCAACATCAGCAGTGCTTCTTAGTAGTTGTTTTCCTTTAGGGAGATCCTTCAGAGCTTCTTGCTTACTTACTAAAGGAGAGTAGTATAACTTACCTAATAGGAATATTGAGTATTATATATGAGCAAATATTATACAAATATAAGTTTATGTTGCTGTAAATTACTATTTTTGAGTGTTCTGTTATTTCCATACTTAGCATATTTTTAACTAAGAGTTTTAAAGTTTAGAAGATGCTGTAAATTGTTTTCTTAAACTGTCTTTACTAARGTGTTTAAAAATCTATTTACAGATTATTAGTGATATGTGGAGCATCTTAGCTAAACAACAGACACATATAAGGTAAACACATTATTAAGAATTTTGTGGGGGCTGGGGTTGTGGCTCAGTAGTGGAGCGCTTGCCAGGCACATGTGAGGCACTGGGTTCAATTCTCAGCACCATAAAAAAATAAATAAATAAGTAAGAGTATTGTGTCCATCTATAACTAAAAAATATTTAAAGAAAATAATTTTGTTACCTCTTCTACTTATTAGCTATTTAATTTTATATTTACATTTTGTGTACTCAGCATTTGATAATTTATATTTTTTATTGTTTTCATTCCTTCTCTTAGCTTTTCTCATTGTTCCCTACTTGTGGAGAGCACAGCACATCAATTACGTATCCCTCACATTTTATTCAGTGCAATGTTACAGTAGCCCTGCACATCTTCTGTACTTGAAGGACATAGTTTTCTCAGTAAATTAGGGAAAATAAATTTTTCTGCAAGTGGTTTGTGGACCAAAGAACTACCTATTTTTGAGAAATGAGCAATATAATATAAAACTGGGATTCATACCTCACTTTTTACATGAAGTCAATTCCAGATAAAGCCAATATTAAAATATAGTAAAAACAAAAATAAACACAGAGAATATGCTTACAATATAAAAAAAGCTTTTTTTTTTACATAAAAGATTTGTAAAAATAATACTCAGTACATACTGGAATAAATAGGTGGGAGTGCAGTTTAGCAGTACATAGCAAATAATGCAGTGGGCCTGGAGTTTAGCCAGCAGGTTCCCACAATGTAAATTAATTGTATAGAAATGCTCATGGAAATGTAGAAATAATGGTAAAAATATGTTTAGTATGTTATCTATCTATCATGGGCAATGTGAAAAAATTTAAACAACCAGAATATGTATTAGGAAGGAATTGACTTAATTTTGATCCAGTCATAGAGTAGAATGTTGAGCCATCTTGATGAAAACAGTTTCATCATACATCAGTAGATTTAAAAATTTCCAAACAATATACATGTAGAACAATTATACTTTTATTTAAATATGAAGACTTTATATGTTTACTTATTCATAGGAGTGATCTGGAAGGATAAAATCCACAACTGTTAAGATATGGGAATGGAAGTTTGAGTGAAGGATGTTTTAATTTTATTCTTTTGCATTTGGGGATGTGGGCAGGTAGGGATTGTGGACTTACTTTTTGTGTGTCTGAATTTTCTTTTATAGCAAGAATATACACAGCCTAGTCCTTCACCTCATAATTTTTACTAACACAGTGATAGCTTATTGCATGTGCTTTTAAGGGGATCCTTGTTTTCATTTGGAAATAGTGCTATGACTGTGCTCTCACCTGAACCTGAAGCATTTGAGTTGATAGGAGAAAGGAGAAGGGTTCTGGCATATATTGCCAAACTTTCTCTTCACTTGAGATAAGATTATTTCTGAAGAGCTCAGGAAGAAGGTATAAAGTTATAGCCTGTAGTATGTAGCTTTGAAAGAGGAAGGTATAACTTTTCACAGAAATAAACTGTCCCTTCAAGACAACTCAGCTATAGAAATACTTATAGAAAACCACTGAGCTTCATGAGGTTTTCAATTCAAGAAGAGTTAGAGCTCTTTTCTGGAAAGGAAATGGTATATTGACATTTCATTTTTGCATAAGTATCAAAGTCATGTCATTATAAAAAGGCAAGGAGTTGAAGATACATTTTACTGATTAAGGCATGAGTACCTGTATTCCCTTCATACAAAGACCTAGGAGGCAAAGTGAAGTAGAGGCAGCATCATGTGGTAGAAACTGTATGAGCTCTGAAGCCAGTCAAAATGTAGTCTTGGTAACATTTGGTAGCTGTGGAACTCCCCTTCTTTGACTGTAAATTGGAATAATAAGTGCATATTAACATTGGAAACTGCTAATTTTTACTTGTCATGAAAGAAGAAGAATAAAGGGGCCATTTTCCCTCTTTTATTTATCCATATACATACTGAATTTGCTAATAATTTATCGATATTCTTGAGTGAAATTCCTAAATCAGATATGTCCTAGATTACATGAAACACATGTAGGGGTTTACTGATGTGTCTGTTCTTTCATCAAAAAAGTATTGAGCTCTAAGTTTCAGGTATTGTTCTAAGTCTTGGTGACATACCAGTGATTCACAAGAGAAGATGTATATTGTCAATTCACACATTTCTGTCTCTGGCTCAGACGTCTCTCCTAAACTCCAGATGACTGACTTTTTAAAAAATCATCTCTCCTTGGGTATCTAGTGAGAATCTCAAATTATACATGTATGACCTGAACCTCTGACTGTTTGCCCTACTGTCCATTCCATATGGTATCTTCATCCCCCTGATTACTCAGCTCAGAAATCCTGGCCTCATTCTTGACTCTCTTCTTTATTCACTTCTACACCCAATCCATCTGCAGATCCTGCCATTGTTACCTTCAAAATTATATGCAGACTCTGAGTACCACTGAGCGCCTCCATCCTGGTCCATACCACAAGTATCTCCCCTGAATTGTTGCCTCCTGACCTCCTTGCTGACTTTCTGCCTCTGCTCTTGCTGCCCAGGCCTGTTCTGTTGTTGGAAAGCAAAAAGCCTTTCAACAGAAGGCAAACTGTGTCACTGCTGTCTTCAAGCAGCTTTCCAAATCACTTGGAATAAATCAAAGCCCTCATCCTGGTCTCTAGTGTCCTGTGTCTTTTGGCCTCTTATCCACTGTGATCTGTCCCATCATGCTCCTCCTCATTCTCTGCTTTCCCTTTTGTCTCAACATACTGAGTTTTTGGTAAGCACATCAGAACCTCCCTGCCATGGAGCTCTTACATCCCTTTCCTCTCTCAGCCTGAAGTACTCTTCCCTTCAGGGTCTTCAGTGCTTTCCCCTTAGCTCCTTCAGGTTAAGTGGGTCCCTCACTTTCCCCATATTCTGCAGCTACAGTAGAGACAACTGAAGGTTGGGGAATCACATACTAGATTCTGGCTGTAGAATATACAAATATTCTGATGACTAGGTGATCAGGCTGGTTAATGCATGCCTTTCCAGGCACCCCGTGCCCCCTGCATCTTTCACTCTGTTTCCCGTTCTCTGCAGCATTTGTCACCATGTGACATGTGTATTAGCTTTTTGTTTGTCTCCTTTGACTTATATGTAAGCTCTGTGAGGGTGAAATTTTTTTTCTCTTGTTAATCCTCTGTCTCCAGAGTGTTTAGTGCTCAATGAAATTGAGTGGGTGGATGGATGGATAGATTTGTACCCTGAACTCCTGAAGGGTTCACTTTAGTATAGAGAGACAGGTGATAATCAAGCACACCACTAATGAGAACATTTTCTGTGTAAGAAGATAAGTCAGGGAAGAGGTGTAGGAATGATCAAGGTGAGGACACTGGATATAGGGTAGCCAGAGGCCTCTCTATATAGTAAGGGGTGAACTAGTCTGTGGTAAGAGCACTAGAGACAGTATGGGAAGAGACAAGTGGGGCCAGCTTGGGAAGACCATGTGCAGTTGGTGGGATTTGCAAAGGGTGCCCATCAGAGACTTTAAAGAGAGACTGGCATGACCACCTTACCATTTTTAAAAGACTGCTTTTACTGCTATGATGAGAATCAGTGGAGGGATAGGGAGAGATGTGGGTAAGAGTCATCAGCCTCTAAGCATGGATCTTTCTAGAGAAATGAGGGCTGTCAAGAAAAGTTAAAGGTGGAATGTTGTGCATATTTGTATATTCTACAGCCAGTGCTGAGAAAAATCTAGTATGTGATCCCCCAACCTTCAGTTGTCTCTACTGTAGCTGCAGAATATGAGGAAAGTGAGGGACCCACTTCACTGGGGGTGGGAAGCAGGTGTGTGGGAATGTGAAGCCACAGAGTTCTTTTGCACTCTCTGTTCTGCTAGCATATCACCAGTGAGGGATCTGGTACACAAAGCATGCTATTATTGTCATAATAATAAATACCAAGTAGTCATATATTCAGGATATAATACAACATTGTCATTTTAAAAAATAAACTGTCTTAAGTGGTTATAATACCCGTTTTGGTGTATAACTTTTAGTTATTTTTATTTACATATATGTGTCCTGGGGGAATACTATAGAGATTGTAAAACTCATATTCACAACATAAAAATACAAATTAATGAAGTAAGTGCTTCAGTAATGATATAATAGTAGTATTTTTTTTCTGTTTCAGAAAACATCAGTTTGATCATGGAGAGGTAAAGACTTAACATTACTAACATTTATCTTAATATATATATATTTGACCTTCCTTTCTAGTTTTGGTTTCTTGATTTATTGACAGTCGTCATTAATAATCTTCAAAATAGCCCAGTATATGTTTTTATGAGAATGCTACATGTAGGTTTACTGGCCACTCATTTGTTAAAACAAGTAGGAAAGTCATTTGCTTTGCTTGGATAATCCTCATAGTAACAGCATTTGATTTCTGGAGCCCATTGAGTGAGGTGTCTTTGTGTGATTTGGTAACGACTTTTCCTCTGAGTTCACGTTGTCCTGCAGCTTCAATGTTGTGCCACAGGCTTCCTTGGCACCTCAGGAGCAATCATTTCTCTTACCACTCTCCTTGCCTTAGTTTGGTGGTAGCACCAAGGTAGGGTCAGAAATGTAAGCTTTATTAACAGCAGTCTTGACTTCAGTGGAATTACAGAAGTATTTGTCTTAGAGACTTTAAATTTTTAGCCTTTTACTAAAATGATACAGTTTGAAAGTAAATCTTAAGAACTGCTTTAGAAATTTCAGAAATGAAAATAGTATTAATCTTTGTTACAAAGAAAAAAGGAATCTTTTCTGTATACTTCCCAGTTTAATGGTATATTCTTAAGCTTTATGAATAGCAGGAGTAAATACTTTTTTTTTTCCTTTCAGCTGGTTTATCATGCATTGCAACTGTTAGCTTATACAGCCCTTGGCATTTTGATTATGAGACTAAAACTCTTCTTGACACCACACATGTGTGTTATGGCTTCCTTGATCTGCTCCAGACAGGTAACATGGTCATAATGGTGGAGTTTTAACTGCTGTAATAATTTGACCCCAGCTTTAATTATTAAGTGGCCCTAAAGTGATGTTGAGTTACCCATGGTTCTGTAAGTTATTATAGTTAAATTTCTTTATGGTTTTGTATTTAGCTTTTTAAGGTGTAAGGACTTACACTGATCACTGACTAGTCTTCTAACTTCTAAAATAGTCCTTGGCACTATTCAACACATTAATCTGTGCATGCTGAATTCATGAGGAATAAATGCAGGTGTTGATAGAAAGCAGGACTTAATTATAGAAATAATTTCCTTAACATTCATGTCACAAAAGAATTCTAATAATTAACTTCAAGTTATAAAAATCCTTCCAAATAATATGTTCTTCAGTATCAAGCTTATTTTTCTCATTTACTGAGTGTACATTTCTATTTCCATTCCAGATTTTCACTTTTTGAAATTTAGTTTAATCCATCCTTGGTTATTTACTGCTTGTATTTTCTGGGAACTGCCCCCTTGCTCTGCATTCACTGATTTATGCTTCTCCATAGTGTCACCCTCTCATCAGTCAACCAGCCAAGGTGCAAAAGTAGCACCTCTCTCAAATTTAGCAAATATTTACTAAGCCACAGGTATCTAGGGATGGGAATAGTAATGGACAGAAAAAAAGTATATGTATATATATGACCTCAAGAAGCTTGAGATCCAACTCTGCAGACATACAAAAAAAAAAAAAAATTAGGAGAGAACATTCAGAACAAAGTGCTGATATTGAGGGTGGACTATCTGAGTATGGAATAAATGACCAGCTTCAAGTTTTCCCATCAGAATGTTGGAACTGTATTGGAGGGGCACCACCTTCCCTGGTTTCTGACTTCTCTAGGCTGGGCCAGGAAAGGAGGCTGATTTGGTGTCATTCATCTTCAAACCCATCCCACTATGTGCCAAGTAACAGAGAGCCTCACCCTGGCCTGGCTTCCCAGGACTGGAGCCTCTTGTGTCACCTCTGCACAGGGCCCTGAGCTCAGAAGGACCTTGCACTTGGGTAATCTTTGTTCTTGCTGTTTCTAACTACTTAATGATTTTGAACAAGGGCCTTTAAATTGTGTAGCTGGTCCTGGCATTACCTGGATATGGAGTATAGAGAGCTGGTTGAGAGAATAGCTTCTTAAGTCCTATCCCTCTTATATAAAGCTAATAGTAGAATTTATTTGATCCTATGAATCAATGTCTCTGGGACCTTTTCTTAGGATAGTTATTCCTTATCTTGTGCTGTAGCAGAAAGTATGCTCTTTTCTGGGAAGATCTTTTCCTTATTGAATACTTGCTGTTTTGTACTAACAGTTATCGATGTATTCTTAATTTGGTTTTAGTTATTTGGATGGCTCTTTTGCAAAGTACATCCTGGTGCTGTTGTTTTTGCTGTACTAGCAGCAATGTCAATTCAAGGTTCAGCGAATCTTCAGACCCAGTGGAATATTGTAGGGGAGTTCAGCAATTTGCCACAAGAAGAACTTATAGAATGGATCAAATATAGTACCAAACCAGGTAAAAAGACATTTGATGAGAGTTTTTCTCAAAATTTTATATACTACTGAAAAACCCTCCCCAAGTTATTTCCAGTGGTCATTGTTTCTAAGTAATGCCGCTTCTAGTGTATCCAAAAACACAGAGAAAGCATCAGATAGTAAATGTTATTCCTGACTATTATTAAATGGTTTGCAGGGAAAATGTTAATGTCATGCATATTTTCTTGGTAATTTATTCTGCTATTTTTCCATATATTTGAATTTTTTTCAAACTTTATTAAAAACTGTAAATGCCACATTTAAAAATAAATTTATTGCACTTTTTTCTTAATAAGTTTTTAGTATTAGTCCTTTACATTCCTTCTTGAACTCATGGAATACAATCTTTTATTCATGTACCAAAAAGGGAACTATGATACTAGCATTGAATATTAAATCATTTAATATGATTGAATATTAAAACCATTTTCCAGAATTCCTTGGTGCTATGAAACTTTTGTCATCGATTTGATACTTCTTCCCTAGAATCAGGTGAGATCTCTGAGATATTGAAAAGAAAAGAAATCCTCAATGATGAGGTGATAAAGCTCTAATTTCCAAGAAAACAGTTTATCCAAGCCTAGTTGCTGACCTCTGCTTTATTGGCCATGTGGCTTCATGCTTTCTGCCACGAAATCTTTAAGTAATGAATGTCCCTGGGCCTCAGCTCTTACCTGTGAGATGATTGTGTTGAACTAGAAGGAAACCCCTTCTCACGCTCACCAGTATCCTCCTTGGGCCTTCTGCTTGTTTCCAGATGCAGTGTTTGCAGGTGCCATGCCCACTATGGCAAGTGTGAAGTTGTCTGCCCTTCGGCCGGTTGTGAACCATCCACATTATGAAGATGCAGGCTTGAGGTTAGTACCTCTTATGTTGTTCAAAACAAATTTCCTATATAAATAGTGTGTGGAGAAACAAGCAAAATGAGGAAGTTTCAAAAAGTGGATAGTGAACTGAGATTTTCAGTTATCAGGGTTGGAATGCTGAAATAAGACTGCTATGCTAGGGAAAAAACAAACAAAAGAAGACTGTTAGGCTCCACAGGGCAGTAAGATTATAACCTTTGGAGTTGTCTTTTCTACAAGGCAGAAAGAAAGAAATCATATATTAATTGTGTAGAGGTTAACAAGTTCCAAAATACCCAGGTTCTTAGTCATTATCTTGAAGTTCCCCCAGAAAATTATTGGCTCCCAGTTTTCTTGCAGGCCATTCTTTTTGAATTCTGAGTCAGTTGAAATACAGTCTCATTCCCAGAGAGTTTTTTCTGCTTTTCACCAATTTTACCTGCTAGAATGATCCTTGATTGTTTTTGGAGACTTTTTTCTCCCATGAATTACAAACTTGTGTTCTCTTAGAAGAGAAAATATATTTAATTTTGATGTGTATTCTAGGGTAGGTAAAGCTATTTATTTCTTAAATGATTAGGTGAATCCTCTTAGCATATTATTTTGCATAATAGCAGGAAGTAAATTTTACAAACAAAAAGCTCTTCATTTAAAAATCAATTACAATAAACTAATTTCCAGAGCAATTTTTTAAAATAAGTTTAATTTTTCATAAATCTAGAAGTCGGATGGAAGGCCATTTAATGCTGAGTGTTATTGATATCAAGGTTTGAGACTGTTGCCCTTTTAGTTCTGTTGTGTTTGTTGTCGATCATCCCTGTCCACCAAAAGGGTTCTTCACTCTTATGGGTGATAGAGTGATGAAGAATTTAAAAACAGTTAACAAAAACAAAATGCTGACCTGTGTTAAAGTTGCATTTCTTCTCTTAGGACTCTCGTGCTAGTCCGCCTTCAGCTTTCAATCTCACCATTGCCCCTTAGTAGAAACTACTATGAGGAATTTATTATTGTCCTGATTCTTCTGCATGATCCTTTCTTGTAGTCCCATTCCATGTTTTCTTTTAAATAATGCCAGCTCTGTCCTTTTAATCTTAATTTTTTCTGCCCACATATTTTTGTTTCAAGAGCCAGAACGAAAATAGTATACTCAATGTATAGTCGAAAAGCAGCTGAAGAAGTGAAGCAAGAATTGGTAAAGTTAAAAGTGAATTATTACATTCTAGAAGAGTCATGGTGTATAAGAAGATCCAAGTGAGTATTTAACACAGTTAATATTTTATAATCCTGAAACATGAAGAGTCAATGTAGGCTCATGACAGGCATTTCGCTGGTGATATGTTTAAAATATATATAGTATACATATATTTTATATACGTATATATTTAACACTTTGTAAAGTAGAAGTGGAAAAGCTTTTTATATTATTATTTGGAGTTGTCTTTTCTAGTTGTTTTAAGTATCTTTTCTAATGATTTATTTGCACTCAACAACTTTAAAGGGATATTAGAACTGATAATCTCCCAAATTGTTCATATTTGCCTTTGATGTTTTTAAAAAACTTTTACTTAAAGCTGGATTTATTTTCTTTCAAAAGACTTCCAGAGTCTGAAACCAAATAATAGGTAGTCTCATTGTAGTAAAGTGGTCCAAGCAGCTGAGAATCAGGGCCTCTCTGGTCTAAACCACATGTCTGTACTGTGCGGTGTCCAGTGAATGGATGTGATGGATTCTCATCAACTGAGAATGAAATTTTTCCTTCTTGATATATCACGTCTTAAATGAGCAGGAAATAAATCAGCTGTGACTCATGGAGTTTATGGTTTGAAAGTTAATAGTTTTAAACAATAGTTTAAAAGTTTCTGTTCTCACAGAGTTTACTAAGCAGAGTATAGCTACAGGTATCAGTAATATCCCAAAAGCAAATGTAGATTCTGAGTTGACTGTGTAGAAATGCTACACTTGGGTGACTAGACAGCAGATGACAGACAGAAGCCTACTATTAAAGGACCAAAGCTTTCCTCCAGGAGGAGCCCAGCTCATGAGCAGTTTCACCAGGAATCAAGACTATTTTATGGAACACTATCATTTTAAAGATTCTCAGTGTATCTGTTGCTATTTCTGTGCTGTATCTATGGCTTGATTATACTTTCCCACCATATTCTTCATCAGTATACAAGGCTATTAAGACAAAATTGTGTGCAAATAGTTCTATTACATAACATCTACTCAGCTTTGCCCAAAAGGAACTTAAATAATTGTTAACTGCTTTTTCTATGAATATGTACCAGATTACTTGAATTTAATCAGGATTCATAGAAAATGCTATTGTTCTTATAGTTTAGAAAATGCTGTTAAGTACTTACGACAGTGTCAATTGAAATATATATGATATATATGTGAAATTCACGTACTACCTTTAATTTATAAATTTAGGACAAAAAAGATATAAGCATCTCTTATAATAGTGTTATAAGATCATTATAATAAATCAATGGTGGGCAAAATTTGCAATGGGAAGAAAGCTTCTTGAAAGAGCTTTCTACAGAATTGGGGTCTTTATTTTCTTAGGCTTCACTTTCCTTCAGGTTATTGGAACATAAAAATAATTTTTATAGTATTTTTTTCTTCTAAGTGAGCAGTGAACCTTGACTCAAGATTCTTCAATTATTTTTCTAGACCCTTTTGAATATGTGCAAATTGCAGAGGCTTTGCATTCTAAAGTGTTAGGAAAGCTCTTTGGATTTGCTTAACTGTAGTAATATCATATTCTGATAGTCAGAACATTGTTTTATGTACATAAGAAGGAATATAAAGGCAGCGGCTATTCAACTGGCTTCAGATCACTTATGAACACTTAGACTCACAAGCTGGGTGCTGGGTTCCCCCATCAGGACCTGGATGTGCCATAGTTGTGTTGGTTCCAGCAGGAGTCCAGAAGCATTTCTCTTATCTGTTTTCCCCACTCATTAATACTGTCAATTACTTCAAGCTTTCAGCCAGACTGTACATGCTCTCAGGAGACTGTGGGCAGGTCCACTATGAGCAATCTGAAACAATACGAAAACTGTGCTTTCTCCTCTGACCAGAAAGTAAATGGGACACTTGAGAGGAAAAGGAAGAGGAACAAATATTTATTTCATGTTGATATCTACAGTATAAAGAACTGAGTTTCTTTTTTTTTAACTTATTTAGTTGTAGATAGACACAATACCTTTATTTTATTTATTTATTTTTATGTGGTGCTGGGATCAAACCCAGTGCCACACATGTGYTAGGCAAGCACTCCAACACTGAGCTACAACTCCAGCCCAGAACTGAGTTTCTTGACAAAACTTTCTACCAGAATTGGGGTTTTCTTTATCGCTGTGACCTTCACTCTCCATTGGTTATGCCAGTCGGGTACACTTTTAGATTATTGGAATATAAAAATATGTCAGAACCTGGGAAGGAAATGGGAACTCGGAAAAGGAAAGGGAAGAGGGACTAATGTTTATTCAGTGCTCAATTTGTGCCTGGCACATTCATGAGCACTGAATGTACATGATCTCATTGCAAGTGGCTTCATCAATGCCTTGATTAGTCCTTGAATACATCACACTCTGTCTACAAATWCAAATACTAAAATACACCTGAATGTAAATTGTAGGTGAGTTTTTAGCACACTACTCTTTTATTTTCAGTTCCCTGTTTTCTTTCAGTATTTCTAATTTTAGAGTGGACATAAAATTAAAAGTAAAATACATATATTCAGAAGAAAATAACCCAGATTCTCATTAATGCTTGTTTGCACTCCTATCCTTAGATAGCAGGGACTACAGGTGTGGACTGACCACCATGTCCAGCATCACTAATGTTATTAGAAAATACAGCTGACTAGCCTGGGGAAACCTCAGGGAATTCACAGAAGGACTGAAGGGCATTGTAGCAGGCTCATAGAGCTCACAAAAGCAGCTTTTTGCCCTTTCTTTTTCCTAAAAGCTGTCCAACTCTGGAAAACTCAGGGTAGTTTTCTACTTCCTATATTACTCACTATTTACCATTTCTGGCTCTTCAGAGTTGTAATAGATTGATCTTGACATGCTTGAAAATTAAAATGTGGAAACCCCAAGCCCAGCCATATTATCATAGATGTTCAAGATGCATAGAATTCAGTATTATTGAAGACACACCCAAAAATATGCACTGGAACCCACCTTATGGAGATATTCACTGGCAAAACTTCCCCGAGAGTTAATCTGACAAAATGAAAAGTTGTATAGTTCTTTGACTGAATGATAATGCTGTTTCCAGATGTTTAACTTAAAAAAGAAAGATAGGCATAGAAATGTTGATAATAGCATTGCTTTTAATTATAAAATTGAAAACAATTATATTCTTARAGGAAAAGTTAAATAACACTAATCTAAAAACTATTAAAACCAATGAAGTAGGTTTTTATCTACTAAGGTGGGGAAAATGGCCTCATTTTATTTTTCCAAGTTTTAAAATAATCCCATTTCTATGAAAACAACCCTGGAACATCTGTGTATATAAATATTTTCTTGTCTGTAATTGTTTATGTGTATGATCATATAAAAAGGTTTTGCAGAATATATGTTGAATGCTTATTAGATGTCACCTCTGGGAAATAACTTTGGAGATAATAGTGACTTTCAGCTTTTTACTTTGTTTAGTTCTGTATTTTGATATTTTTATAACGGCAAATTACTTTAAGGTTAAAGCTGTTATTGAAAAAGAGGAAGCAGCTACTCTCCTACTACATTGGGGAAAGCTGGGTGAGATTGCCATGGAACTCCCAGAACTCGTTGGAAATGTGTTTTTCTGTTATTTCAAAAACAAGTGAAGCAACTATAACAAAACATAAGCAGTGGTCAATTCTCTATAGTTTTTCTGTTTTGTAAGATTTCTCTAGAACCAAATAAGAAAGTGAACTTTATCAGACTCTAGACCTTGTATCTGTGAAAAGTGTTTTTGATTTAAAATAAAGGATGAAGCTTTTTTGAAGCACTTATTTAGGCAAATATTACTTGGTACCAAACTCTCTCACACCATTCTTTATAAAAAATGTATTGCTTTTAAGATTGAATTCTTCATTTTGCTGAGATATAAACTTAAAACTACAAATTTTATTTAAATTCATGCATGTAGAATATAATTAATGCAACTTCCCTATAAACTAAACATAATTACCATTTATAATTTTTTTTAAAAAAAATCAATACATACTTTTATGTGCTGGGCATGATGTTAGATATCTGGTTTCTCTCAATCCTCACAACAAATCTGTGTCATGGGCATTTCACAAATGTGGAAACTGAGATGAGTGAAGGAAACAGCCCAATATTTCATTCTTGGTAAGTAACTGGGACAGAATTTCACTGAGGTATCTCTTGTTCCAGCATCTGCATGCATGTATTCTGCAGGTCTGTTTTCTTTTTTTATAGTCACTTCTGCTGCATTATCTTGTCCTAAAGAGGAATTACAGCAGATTACCAAAATATAAATAACTGTCATTTTTTAAAACTAAGTTAAGAAGAAAAAAATGAGATGAGATCAGGAATATAAAAAGTATGCTCTGCTTTATCTATAGATATATAATGTGCACTGATTTTTAATGGGTACATTTATTTTTTCCTAGGCCTGGTTGCAGCATGCCTGAAATTTGGGATGTGGAAGATCCTGCCAATGCTGGGAAAACTCCCTTATGTAATCTCTTGGTGAAGGAATCAAAGCCTCACTTCACCACTGTATTCCAGAACAGTGTTTACAAAGTTCTAGAAGTTATAAAAGAATGACTACTACTTCATGACCTGCCTCCTACAGAGAATTACATCAGTAATGGTTTTAATGTTTTGCTAATAAGTCATGTATTGTTTTTAATTCAAATCCCCAAAATTTTTATAGGTAACTGTTTTCAAATAGAAAACATTTTATTTGGTAAATTTGAATGTTATTCTGATTGTGAAAATGGCATATACCCTCATCAGTTGGTTACCATTTTAATGCACCCCTTAAAATTTGCTATGCAAATGAGTATATGCTTGTACTTGACTTCAATATTTGTGCTAAAGTGAGCAAAGCCAGCTGTGTAAAAAATATATGATGGTCATGACAAAGGCGATATGAAAATGTAATCAGTTCTGAATTCTGTTGGGGCTTCCTCTACAGGTTGTGGACTATTAACGCCCCTTGCTTACTTCTTCGCCTCCTGCTCTTGTCTTTGGACAGTGCAGTGTTCATGTAGGTTTTCAGTCCTGCCAGCCCTCTCATTACTTGAGTTCTAGTAAATGGCACAAATGTGGGTATTTGCTTTCTGGAATTATCTGTTTATCTCATTTCCTCATGTTCATTTTGTTCTCTATTGCTCTTGTGAATGAGGCCTTTTCTGCCCATTTTTAATCCAGACTCTTGAAGCTAATGGTTAGGACCAAATCCCTCTAACTTCCAACCATATGGCATTCTTGTGTCTCTATACCACTCACAAGGTTTTTTCAGATAAGTGCTATTTACCCAAGTTGCTTATCAAGTACTTATTCTTAGTAAAAATAATAATAATAATGGTAACTGTATTTTTCTCATTTTTAGTATTATTCAAATGTTTATATTTTAATGACTTTAAACCACTTTAAAATTTTTTCATGTTTAATTCTAGTTTTAAAAAAACAAACTATTTTGAACAACCCCAAATATATTGCATCTACAAACTAATGTATATTCAGGTTGACATAATATATAGTAGACTGTAGCATATGGTAATTCTTCTTTTACTACTAAGATACAATGAAACATGACTAATTTTTTCTGTCAAAAAAGTAAATGAATAATGATAAACGAATGAGTTTTTCTGTTTTACTTTCAGATTGCCTGTCTTTATTAAGACAAAGCCTTAAGCCTTATGTTATAATTTTGGTTCTAAAAACCATCATTTGAGTATGAGGAATAAGTATGTTCCATCTTCTTCTTTATCCTTATCTATTTTTATTTTGAAAAATTTCCAAACCTGCTTTGAATTCCTCATATAAATTTTTGTTTCTTAGAAATTAATTTGTGTGAAGTGAAATTGTTCAAAATGATGAATCTTCATTATTTTGAGAAAGGGTTTTCAGGTTTTAAATTCTAAGCAAACCATGATTATGGCTGACTACACATTTAATTATACAGTGTTCTCTTTATTAACCACAGGCAGATTAACCTCATTGTGGATTGTCCTTGAGACCTGAGTCCTCAGGGATGGTTTCCGGTGCCCACTTCTGGGAGCCACAGAAGAGCTGTTCTCTTTCTGCCTTCTTACCAGAGCCCAAGGACAAGCCTGGTCTGGGGGAAGCACTAGTTTGCTTGTATTGGTCAACTGCAAAGAGAGCATGCACAGCTGAGTGAACCCTTCGAGAGGGGCACCATCTCCAGCCTTGCTCCAGAGCCGGCACCTCCCAGGGCTTCTCCTTATCTGGAGTCAGCTCAGGAGATTGCTTCTGTCAGTGTTCTGCAGATGTACAGTCACTCTTTTTCATTTGCTACTCGACCATCTTATTTCTTAGGCTTTGCCAGTTGCCCAAAAGTAGGGAAGCAGCTGGGGAATTTTTGGATTAGGAGTAACATTTGATCAATAATGCAGCAATCCAGAAAAATGGGAAGAAGGCATTTGGGGCTGAAGAGGAGAGTCAACATGGGTGGGAGAGGGCAGGTGTGTGCTACATTATCTGCAGTTGTTCCTCAACAAGTGCACCTGCTGTTGCATATCCAGCAGTTCAGGATAGTTTTTCAACCATACTTTTAAAGTCATTCTCTATTCTTCTCACCCTCTAACAATTCCCTTCCTAGTAAGTTCACATGTAATGATTGGAAATTCAGTACAGCAAAAAAAAAAAAAAAAAAAAAAAAACTAAACATTAAAATACTGTTACAAATTGTTTCATATGCTGGGAAACATTAAAAGCAGTCTAAATTAGTTTTTTCCAGAAGAATTCTTTTGTAACAATATTTCTTAATGTAACTCTACCAGCAATCTCTGCTTCTATTTTAGGTGAGTCTGTTTAGAGCAGAAGCCTGAGGGACCATGGCACACTCAGCCTTGAGCACCTCCAGTAGCAGCCGGTGCTGTAGGATATTAAATACTTTTATGGTAACATGGAGTAGTAGTAGGTTCAGTATACATGACAAAGCAGTATTAAAACTCAGTATTTTACATATTTTTAGCACTTAAAAATATTTTTGCTTTAGTAGGGGAAAAGGAAAGATGGGCAAAGAGGCGATTGAAAATGCTATTGCTATGATATTTTAGAAAACAAAGCTGGGGCAGTGTTTCCATAAAAAGATAAGCCTCCAAAAATGCTTGGCAGAAAAAGTGCTGTTTAAAGTAGGCCAGTGACATTAAGGAGAAAATGAAAGGATGTATCAGGAATAAATTGATATTGTGTAGGAGTATTGTATTTTTATGAATTTTATGCCACTTGTTTACATGTACTATCTATGTTAAATAAAAAAGATCATGAAAATGTAGGAAGTGGTTTTCTTGCCTCTATTTTCATTTCTACCTTGACAGTGAACATGTGCAGTCTTCTTTTATAGTCAGATAACTATGAACTGGTTTGACTCAGATTGGTAGTTTTTTAAAAAAGGAAGAAACTTTAGTATGTTCCATGAAACTCCTGTTCTTCATTGGTGATGATAGGCACTGGCATTATCAGACATTTCTTATATTTATGGCAAGAGTCACTGGTACTGCTTTATATCATTTTCAGCAAGGGACATAAGCATTAGGGATAAATACATAGTGGCTAAAAGTTTTATTTTTTATATATTAAACTGCAATTTGGTATCATGCTTTGGTGTCTAAATTGTAACTCCATGTTTTTGCATTATTTTTCCCCCCTTTGGAGGAAAGTCAGTTTAGCTTTGTTCATTCCTGCATAACTAATTTCCTAACAGAGACACCTTGATTCTGACATCTTTGGGACATGAGATTTTCTAACCCAGTCCTTCTCAAAATAAGCAGGCATCAGAATCACCTGGAAAATCCAGATTGTTGGCCCTCCCACAAAAGTTCTGATTCCCTTGGCCTAAGATGAGGATCACAGAATTTGCATTTCTTAGGTGGCATTGTCTTAGGATGACACTTGAGAACAACTGCTCCATACCTGAAAGGCTGGCCTCTAAGGCACATTCCATTTCTAACATGACATCCTACTCATGCACATTTGGGTTATATCAGTGTCTGGAACTAATTATTCATAGTTCCTGTTTTAACTCTTGGAAGGCATTTCTTCAGTTGGTCTTGCAAGGAGCAAACATAAAACTTTTTATTTTTAAAATTTATTTTTTATTCTAATTAGGTATGTAGGACAGCAGAATGCATTTTGATTCATTATGCACAAATGGAGCATAATTTTTCATTTCTCTGGTTGTACATGATGTAGCATCATACCATATATGCAGTCGTACATATACCTAGGGTAATGATGTTCATCTCATTCCACCATCTTTCCTGTCTCCATGCCTCCTCCCCCTCCCTCTTCCCCTTTGCCCAAAGTTCCTCTATTTTTTCCTACCCCAACCCCCATTATGGATTAGCATCCACTTTTCAGAGAGAACATTTGGCCTTTGGTTTTTTGGGATTGACTTACTTTGCTCAGCATGATAATCTTCAAACTCCATCCATTTACCTGCAAATGCCATAATTTCATTCTCTTTAAATGTTCAGTAATATTCTGTTGTGTATATGTACCACAGTTACTTAATCATTTCATCTATTGAAGGGCATCTAGGTTGGTTCCACAGTTGATCTATTGTGAATTGAGCTGCTGTAAACATTGATGTGGCTGTGTCATTATAGTATGCTGATTTTAAGTCCTTTGGTGTAGACTGAGGAGTGGGATAGCTGGGTCAAATGGTAATTTTTAACTAGAGTACTTTGGGGTTATGGATTGTTCATTATTTATTTATTTATTTATTTATTTATTTATTTATTTATTTATTTATACATACCAGGACTGAACCCAGTGGTACTTAACCGCTAAAGCCACATTTCCAACCCTTTTTATTTTTTTATATTGAGAGTCTTATATTTTTTATATAGGGTCTCTTAAGTTGCTTAGAGTCTTGCTCAGTTGTTGAGTTTAGCTTTGAATTCTCTATCTTCCTGCCTCAGTCCCCACGCTGCTGGGATTATAGGCATGCACCACCACACCTGACTGTCATTTAAATATTTTGAAGTTGTAAATTAGTCCTTGTTTCTTTTCAGTTTAGAGGTGAGATGTTTTGAAATACAACTTTCTTTTGTAATGTTACTTTGCCTAAGAGAAAACAGGTATACTTAGTTATGTGTGGTTACTGAAAACAAACAAATATTTTTTTCCACTTTATTACTTTTGTTTTGGCCCCAGAAATTTTCAGTCTTCTCCTTCTATTAAAGGGCAGCTGAGAATCAGTATGAGGTCACAGAGTGCCTCCTTCTCTTTTCTGCCTTCCCCATCTCCAGCCCCCAACTACAAGTTCCTAATTTAAATCAGTAAAACTGCTCTCAGAGCAGAAAACGAGGAGCTACTTTTAAACTTCATTCCACTCTTGAATTGGTTTTTATTTCAAAGCACTATATCAGGACAAATATGTTTTTGCATTCCAAGTTGGAAGGAATATTATGGTACAAAATGGTCTTGGAAACTCCTTTTATATTTCTCTCATGAGAGGGATTTTAGAATTTTGAATGAATGGGAGAGTTGAAGACTTTTTCTCTTAAGATTTTGAGTCATTATTGTATAACTAAGAGATAAAATTTTTCTTTGTTTAATTAAGAGATCAGGATAGCATTATATTGGCATTGCTTTCAAAGCAGATGTTTTCTGTGCTCAGTTCCCTCTAACTGGAAACTCTATAATTACTCTAAACACAATGTTGTCAAAATGACTTTCAAATAAATGATAATGATACACAATATTCTGTTTACCTAGGCATACTCTCTTTAATACAGTGTAATATCATCTCATTGATTTTTAATACCTAGSTGCTGTTTTTTATTTGTTGTCTGCATATTTAATAACTGGGGGAAAGAATTGAATTAAACAAAATTAAGCTCACTTAGTTGTTATACTGATTGCTTTGACAGCTATAATCCTTATCCATTTATTTTAAAAGTGGAAATGAATATTAAAAAATGACCATTTCTGAATGGATTTGGCACCATGCTTTGGGAACTGATTAAAGGAGAAAAAATGTTGCAGCTGACTCTTGAGCCCATCTTTATTGGCTGAGCTGTCCTGGAATGTGAGGTTATGTGTTGACCGTTTAGGTCTTCCCTTTTGGCATCTCTTATTCACCAGACTTCATCTTCAGATATTTCCTCTTGCCCAGGAAAATCTTTTCCCCAGGAGATGCAATATAGATTACCCTCCAGCACTTTACATGGATAATGAATTTGGCATTTTCTATCAAAAGTCTCTATGGCAGTTATTCTCAAATTTGTTTGCACAATGAAATTACTTAGGAATTTAAAAGATCCTGAAGTTTCCCACCCTCAGAGGGGTTTGCTCTGTGATTTGGAATTTTTTATGTCTCCAGTGATTCTGATGCACAGTGCTAACATTTTAGAACCTGCCCTGCCTGCTTCACTTCCCTGTATCCACTCCTTCCCAAAGCTGTCCAATCAAAGCACAAATGGTGAGCAAGTCTCTCAGCTATATATTCTTTTGTTATTAGTGAATGACAGCTAATATTTACATTATACTAATTATGGAACCTAGTGTTGAGTAGATTTATTAAGGAAAGAATTTGTTCACTTTAATTCTCTGTTCATAACACTTATTTGCGAGCCCTGATTGGAGTGTCAATGAGAAATCCAAAATAGAAAAAAAAATGTGGAGGACAACACACATTTCTTCTCTGTGGAGTTGCTTTCTTCTTTTTCCGAGAATATGCTTTTCTTGATCAGTGTCTACTTCAAGATGTAACTCAAATGTCATCTCCTATGTGAAGCCTGCCCCAACTACCTACCCCTTGACTGAGTGAGATCACCCCCACCCCAAACTACCTATGCTCCCACCTCCCCTACAGAATCATTGACATTTTCTTCCTACTGTATTGTATCTTTACAGATGGAACATATGTCTTATTCCATCCCAAATCCACAATGCCTCCTAACACAGTTCCTGGCAAGTGATACTGCTTAATGATTTTTGAAATAAGCCACACTTTATATTACAACGTGGTAAATTCCAGATGGCACTAAAAAAATATTTTTAAAACTAGATGAAATAGAAGTTAATGTATTCTAGCCATAGAGGAAAAGAAAACACAGAGCGTTTTCAAATGAGATTAATACCATAGAAGAAAAAATGTTCTTGACAAACAACTAGGCACAGATTGACTCCATAACATACCTTGGCGAGGAACATTGGAAAACAATATGGCAAAGAGGTATATCTGACTACTGGTCAGTGAACCAGGTCTTCATTGACCTGGGTTTGGTTGTTTGACAAACTATGATGGCCAGCCCTGAGCACATTTGCTACTGATCAGGGAGCAGAGAGTCCTGGTAATTTGGTGAAAGTGGGAGTCGGGATTTCCTGAAGGAGGGGAAGAGACTGGTGTGTTGTTATTAGGTGAAGATGTTAGGTAAAACAGATGACAGCAGTTGCACAGTTACTATTATCATAATAGATAACAAGCAACTAGATTGGAATTCTGGATTCATCCTTTACATACTATGTGAGACAGGACTGTTTCTTCATTTGAGCATTAGTTGTCTTTCAAAAGAATATGCCTTTTAGTGTAGGAAATAGAAATATGAGGAAGAGATGAACACAAACCACAGGAGGGAATTTTAACTCATCTCCCTTCAAAACTGATATAATAAGCCAGTAGATCAGTAAGAAAATGCATGATTTGAGT